GATGTGTGTGAGGATGACTTTGACAACGATGCGGTGGTTGATCCTCTGGACGTGTGTCCTGAAAGTGCAGAGGTAACCCTCACGGATTTTCGAGCCTATCAGACCGTCGTCCTGGACCCTGAGGGTGATGCTCAGATTGACCCAAACTGGGTCGTGCTCAATCAGGTACTCAAAGCTGAAAGATTGAGAGCAGGGCAGGTGCTGTCAGACCAGACCAGCAGGTGGGCCTAGGGCAGATACCGCAGCATTTGGATCAGGGCTTTTTTCTTTACTCAACCTTAGGGCATGGAAATCGTTCAGACCATGAACAGTGACCCTGGCCTGGCAGTTGGTATGTAATTTCCAAATGGAAGGAACAGAAGGTGGGGGAAGAAACAGATGGGGAGGATAGGCAAAAGCAAGAGAGAAGGTAGTGGGGCCAGCTGACTACACATACAGCAGACATCCATCCCTTCCCATCCCCACCCCACAGTAAGCTCCAGCAGCCACCCCACAGTGGGCCACCAGTAATTTCACTGCCCTTGACCTTTATCCCACCCCCCACCCAGGATACACAGCCTTCAATGGTGTGGACTTTGAAGGCACCTTCCACGTGAACACAGTAACTGATGATGACTACGCAGGCTTTCTCTTCAGTTACCAGGATAGTGGCCGCTTTTATGTGGTCATGTGGAAGCAAACGGAACAGACCTACTGGCAAGCCACACCTTTCCGGGCTGTTGCCCAGCCTGGGCTGCAGCTCAAGGTATCCAGCTGCCCAGTTTCTCCAACCAAGGGCCCTTTCCCAAACTCTTCCTGTCCATCCTCAGGCCTCCTCCACTGCCTGATTGGGCACCCTCTTACCCAGAGGTCCGGCCTGAAGGTTGGCTCTGTGGGATTCCAGAGAATTCTGACCTCCTTCGAGTCCTTTTGTCACCTGTACTTACCAACCTCTTGTTGCCCTTCTCTCTGGTCCTGTGGTTGACCCACTGTCTTTGCCAATGACCCCCCCCAGGCAGTGACATCAGTGTCTGGCCCAGGTGAGCACCTTCGGAATGCTTTGTGGCATACTGGCCACACCCCTGATCAGGTACGACTGCTGTGGACTGATCCACGAAATGTAGGTTGGCGTGACAAGACCTCTTATCGTTGGCAGCTGCTTCACCGGCCCCAAGTTGGCTACATTCGGTGAGAAGAGGGCCTGAGTCCTCCGTGGTGGTGGGACCCCAGACTCGATCCTTTCCTTCCTCTGTAGCTGGGTTCACCAGTGATCTCCCCTCTGCTCAATTCCTTGGTGCCATGGGCGAGGACTGTAGCCACCTCCCTCCATCTCCCTTTTCATCAGACACAAGGACCTGTAGAGGGTGCGGGGCACATCATTCCTCCCCTGTGCCCCATTTGCCCTATGTAAACAAGGGTGTTGAGCTAAATGCTCTTTACAGTTTCCCTCCAAAACCTAGGCAGTCTGTAGAGGGATACCTCCAGCCTCTTAAGTGGTATAGCCCAGAACCTGCTGTATCAGCTTCTGACCTGGAAGGGATCATCATGTACAGTAGGGCAGAGACCCAGACCTCACAGGGTTCTTGGTTCAGCATTTTGTCCACAAGTTTGCATTTTCCTCCCACAAGTGCCCCTAGTTGGTGGGGATGACTTGGGAAGGGAGGGGAAACAGATCTGCTTAAAGGCTGGACCCTTCCATGGCCAAGAGCCCAGAGTCTAAGGGGTTGGGTTCATTCCCCTTTAAGGTGCCTGGGACTGTGGGGCGCCAGGGCAGGGGATAAAGGGGGGTGGAATAGAGCCTGGGAAGAGGGTGACTTCACCCCCCAGCCCATTGTGCTCATCGTCATGGCAACCCAATCCTGGCTTGGAATGTGCCTGGTGCTTTGAGATGCAAAAGGGGCTGGACAAAGAGCTAGGGGCCCCAGGCCTGAGAAAAGCACCCCTCTTCCCTCCCCTTTCCTTCCTACCCTCCCTTCTCTCTCAGGCCTGGTGAGCTCAAGGGGGGCTGGAGATGAGCAAGGCCATCAAGGGGTCATGGTTGCTCAATGATCATTGACACCTTGGCACCAATGGACACCCCTATCCTGGACAGGGTGAAGCTCTATGAGGGTCCCCAGCTAGTGGCGGATTCTGGGGTGATCATTGACACATCCATGAGAGGGGGGCGTCTTGGTGTATTCTGCTTCTCCCAAGAAAACATCATTTGGTCCAATCTCCAGTATCGATGCAATGGTGAGGATCTAGACCAAGATCAACCTGACCCTTCATGTCCTGGAAAAGCCACATTCTCTGACCTTACTTATTCACCCTTCTTCAGATACAGTGCCCGAGGATTTTGAGCCATTCCGGAGGCAGCTGCTCCAGGGAAGGGTGTGAGGAGGTGGCCAGCGGATTCAGAATCCTGATTCTGAGTGGATTCAGAGACCCTTTGGCCTTAGGGTCCATTCTGGAGACCCTGGGATCTAAACTACAGCCCCTCAGCCAAACAGACCCTTTTCTGGCACCCATCAGTTCAGCCCCAGAGGGGTACTGACCCCGCTGTTCAGGGGTTGGGAAATTTTCAAGGGGTGTTACTCAGGTACTAACCCCACGAGAGATAACAGCCCGCTACCATAAAATTCCAGTTGTTTTCTATGCCAGTGCAATTGCTTATTTTAGGGATTTTCTAGAATAGGTTGGGAAAACAGGAAGGAACCTGAGGGATTAAGAAAAAAAAGGCTGAAAGTTAGAGATCTAGGAAAAGTTTGGCTGAGTTTGGGACGCGGGTAGGAAAGGTGCCAGATAAGAGTTAAGTGAAGGATAGGGTGCTGGTCGGAGGATGGCTGACGTCCTTCCAGCCCCACTTACTCACGGTGGCAGCGGCGACACTCCAGCAAGGATCGAAAACCAGAAGGGCAGGGGCTGCCCCACTTGGGATGAGGGGGAGACCGGGGGGCCGAGGGGGCCGGAGGCCGGGACGAGTGCAATATTGGTGGGGGAAAGAACAACACTGCACCGCGTCCCGTCCCTCCCGCCCGCCCGGAGCCCGGGATCCCGCTCCCCACTACCTGAAGCCGGCGGGGCCCAAGGACCGGGGATGCGTTGGAGAGTTAGGCTCATCTTAGAGGCCGGCCAGATATCTGGTGTCCAGAAGGATGAAGGGGATAGTTAAGGGGGGAAGGGGGAGACCGTGGTGCCCCGGAAGGCCGTTTTCCGACGCCAGGGCCTTGCGCGCGCTTGCTCTTTAAATACTGAGACTGAACGGCGCGGAGTCGTCGCTATGGTGACGCGTGTCCCAGCAACCGAATTGAATGGCTGTTGCCTGGCAACTCATGAGTTGAGCTTTGGAGCCGCCCACCTAGATACACGTACTTTCTGTAGTGTGGGGAACCTCCCGGCCTCCAGCCCGCCAGCCCCGGCGCGCTGACGTATGTCGCCCCCACTCCGCCCCGAGCCCGCCTCCCGGACCCGCCGCAGCACAAAGCCGCGCCTGCGAGGCCGAGCCGCGCGGGGCGGGAGCAGTTGCACCGAGGTCCTTTCTAAAGTATTAGTTTCCAATCTCTGTTCGTTGGGGCTAAGAATTTCTTTTCTTGTACAGTTGTAACAGCTTCTGTTGGCCTACACCGCAATCCCGGACCGCCGGATCTGGCCTGATACCCTCAGCCACGTGCTCCCTACCTGCCCCCAAATATTTCTGCTCCCTAAAATACCTCTCGGTTCTCCCAAATTATTCACCCCTACATATGGTTTTGCCCTCCACCACGTGCCTATCCGCCCCAAATACCACTTTTCTCAAAAGACAGTTTTGTGCCCCGAAATTCCATTCTGTCACCCCATTTACTTCCTAGATACCCAGCTGCCCTCACATAATCTGCCCATCCCCCCTCCTACATTCCGATGTCCTCTCCCACATGCCTCGATGCCCCTTCCACATTCCTCAGGACCCCACCCACTTAGTATCATTTCCTCCAGATTCCACCCTCTTGCACCTTCGTCCCCCACCTACTGCTCCCAGCCCCTCCATTGTATTGTGCATTCCTCCCTTTCTGTCCAGGGCATTCTTCTCGCCAGGGTCCAAAGATCCTCCCCAGGATCCTGGCCCCTACTTGGGCTGAACCGCCCACCCTCTTCACACAGTCTTGAGCTCCTTGGTCTTTGCGGGTCGGACCCGCGAGGCTCCCGGTGACCACTAGAGGGCAGCAGCTCCGGGTCAGCGGTGCCGGGAAGCTGCCACTCAAAGGTGGGGGGTTAGGAAGAACCTTAGGGTTCTGTGGAGCCTCGCTTTCGTCCTTCTTTAAGTGGAAATTTCCCCCACCACCCCCCTCTTCTCTATAGAAAGCCAAAGAGGTTGCCCATGCTGCTGGAAAGTCCGGCCGGGGCAGAGACATGGGTTTCAGGGTAGAACTGCGTGTGGAACGGGACAGGGAGCGGTTAGAAGGGTGGGGCTATTCCGGGAAGTGGTGGGGGAGGGAGTCCAAAACTAGTGCCTAGTCCACTCATTATCAAACCCTCCTATTTCTTCTCAGCCCGCAGAGTGGGGCTTCAAAGAATCTAGGGAGAATAGGGAAGTGGAGTGTGTGTGTGAGTGTAGGGGAGTCTAGAGGTGGGTTTCCTGGCTTTGCTTCCAGAGCCTAGATCAATCCACCCTCTGCTCTCCACCCCACCTTAGCTGTTACCCTGGGTCTAAACCTAGAGAGGCCCCAGGGGGGGCCCCAGGTCCCAGATTCCCCTCCCCCCCACCTCGTGGAGTCAGAGTGGTTGGTGAAAAGGGGAGACCAGTGGAGAACAAACAGGTTGTCATAAGGTTGAGTGATTGGAGCCCATGTACCCTACCCAGAAATGGTTGGGGAGAAGGAGGAGGAAAAGGTAGGAGGTACTGAAGAGGGAGGGGGCGGAGTTTTGTCACCTGTCACCTGCTCCGGCTGTGCCTAGGGCGGGAGGGGGGGGACCGGTATAAAGCAGCAGACGCCAGTGCCGCTCCACCTCACTCACGGCGCCTGCTTGAGTCTGCTCTGCCCCCTCCCCACCAGTTCACCACCACCATGACACGGGGCTTCCAGGTCCCTTTCTTCCTGCTGCTGCTACTAATGCTTACAACAGGTGAGGGGCACAAGGCGGGGAGGGGGCTCTCTCTGCTCACATGGTCTTCCTGGCCTTTCTGTGGGTTTTGCTTCCTGGCAGATGGCATCAGGAGAGTCAGAAATTGCAGACAGGGATGGTCCGGTCTATGCCAGAATGAAGTGGAGAGGCTAAGGACAGGCTGAGAAGAGGTGGCCTCCAGGGGAATGGGTGCCATGGTAGGCAAATAACTTAAAGAGAAATCTAGGGGGAAGGGAGTAGGAGAGGTAAGTCTTAGTAGTGAGACTGGACCAAGGGGCCTAATGCAGGAAGAGGGGTGGTCACCAGCACCAGCAGGGAGGGCAGACCCAGGGGCTGCCGGTTGCCGCCCAATCCCCACTCCTTCTGGTGTTATGCCTTTGCTCTGATTTGCCCTCCAACCCAATAGTTCTTACAACTTCTGGCCCCAGCTAGAGCAGAAAAAGTCTTTGGCTATCCGAAGCAATCCAGTTTCCAACCCCATTGAGAGAAGTGCTGTGAGCGTGACCAGGGGCTTGCTTTGCACCCTCAGCCATGGTTCAGGCTCTGCTACCATTCCAGGTCAGAAGAAAGGTGTCACCTTATCTCAGTTCACCACCACTTCCCCAACATTGACTGACACTATGGTCCATAAAGGCACTTTGACTCCAACCACCAGCTCTGCATCAGGCTCGACCACCACTCCAGCCCATGATAGCACTCCAGCCCCTACCACCAGGGATGCAGCCTCAGGCTCAGCCACCACTACAGTCCACAATGGCACCTTCACCCCAACCACCAGGGATGCAGCATCAGGTTCAGCCACCACTACAATCCACAATGGCACCTTCACCCCAACCACCAGGGATGCAGCATCAGGTTCAGCCACCACTTCAGTCCACAATGGCAACCTCACCCCTACAACCAGGGATGCTGCATCAGGCTCAGCCACCACTGCAGTCCACGATGGCACACTCACCCCAACCACCAGGGATGCAGCATCAGGCTCAGCCACCACTGCAGTCCACGATGGCACCCTCACCCCAACCACCAGGGATGCAGCATCAGGCTCAGCCACCACTGCAGTCCACGATGGCACCCTCACCCCTACCACCAGGGATGCTACATCAGGCTCAGCCACCACTGAAGTCCACGATGGCACCCTCACCCCTACCACCAGGGATGCAGCATCAGGCTCAGCCATCACTGCAGTCCACGATGGCACCCTGACCCCTACCACCAGGGATGCTGCATCAGGCTCAGCCACCACTGCAGTCCACGATGGCTCCCTGACCTCAACCACCAGGGATGCAGCATCAGGCTCAGCCACCACTGCAGTCCACGATGGCACCCTGACCCCTACCACCAGGGATGCTGCATCAGGCTCAGCCACCACTGCAGTCCACGATGGCACCCTGACCCCTACCACCAGGGATGCTGCATCAGGTTCAGCCACCACTGCAGTCCACGATGGCACCCTCACCCCAACCACCAGGGATGCTGCATCAGGCTCAGCCACCACTGCAGTCCACGATGGCACCCTCACCCCAACCACCAGGGATGCAGCATCAGGCTCAGCCACCACTGCAGTCCACGATGGCACCCTGACCCCTACCACCAGGGATGCTGCATCAGGCTCAGCCACCACTGCAGTCCACGATGGCTCCCTGACCCCTACCACCAGGGATGCTACATCAGGCTCAGCCACCACTGCAGTCCACAATGGCACCTTCACCCCTACCACCAGGGATGCAGCATCAGGCTCAGCCACCACTGCAGTCCACGATGTCACCTCTGCTATGGTTACTACAACCTTGGTTGGCAAGAGTACTCAACCCTTAGTTCCTAGCCAGCAGTCTGATAGTCCCACCACCCTTGCCAGCCCCAGCAGCAACACTGTTGCCAATGGCACTAACCACAGCACAGGAACTCCCCTCATCTCCTCCAATCATAGTTCCCAGTTATCTGTTGGGGTCTCCTTCTTCTTCCTGTCTTTTTACATTTTGAACCGCCAGTATAATTCTTCCCTGGAAAATCCCAACACCGACTACTACCAAGAACTGAAAGAGAACATTTCCGGATTGGTGGGTATCTGCCTTTCCTCTGCCATGCTCCCTTAGCCTTCATAACTGCTTGACTCATTTGCATCAAGCCTGAATCCTTCCTTTCCCTCTCACCCCAGTTTTTGCAGATTTTTAACCAAGATTTTCTGGGCCTCTCTAATATCAAGTTCAGGTACAGTTTGGTAGGATTCTTTGTATGTGCGGGTGTGGGGTGAGTTGTCATGACTGTAGGGAAGGACTGGTTCATTTGTGGTTGGGGGGAAACGCTAAGTCAAAGCTAGGACCTATGGCTGAGTTGCCCATTTCCTGTGACCAGGCCAGGATCTGTGGTGGTGGAATCTACTATGATCTTCCGGGAGGGAACCATCAGTGCCTCCCAGGTGGAGTTACAGCTTATTCAGCATGAGAAGGAAAACAACTATGATCTGGTCATCTCAAAAGTCAGTGGTGAGGCACCATTCCCAACTGCAACCCAGCACCACACCCAGCCCCTCTCCCTCCAGCACTGGGTTTCTACTCTTCCCTTTGGTGCTAGCAGGGAGAGGACCTCCTCCTTTGAGAGACTTCTCTAATCACTGCTTTTTATTTTAGCTCATGAGGTGCCATTTCCCTCCTCTGCTCAGTCTGGGTCTGGGGTACCAGGCTGGGGCATTGCCCTGCTGGTGCTAGTCTGTGTTCTGGTCACACTGGCCATCGTATATTTCATTGCTCTGGTAAGTACTCAGTCTTGGGCCTTCACCAGAGTGTTCCTGGTAGAAGGAACCCCATGGTCTACCATAAACTCCTTCCTCCCCAGGCTGTGTGTCAGTGCCGCCGAAAGAACTACGGGCAGCTGGACATCTTTCCCACCCGGGACGCCTATCATCCTATGAGTGAATACCCTACCTACCACACCCATGGGCGTTATGTACCCCCGGGCAGTACCAAACGTAGCCCCTATGAGGAGGTGAGGCTGGGCCCCGGAGGGGGCAGGGGTCCTGGTTGGGTACTTAGAAATCCAAAGAGCTTGGAAGAGGTGAGCATTTGAGTGGTTGAGAGCCTGGCAAGGATGGGGGTGGAGGTCAGAGGAGTTCTGAGGGACAGGGCTTGGGGAGTAGACCACAGAAGAAAGGGGGTGCTTAAGAGGGAGTGTCCTCATTACCAGCATTCCCAAAAGAGCATGGGCTGTCCACATTTACTGCTGGCTGAACTGGCACCAGGGCAGTGCTCATTAAGATGCCCAGAGGTGAAATGGGTGTGGCACTGTGCCCAGGGGAGCCCTTCCTGCAAGAGTCACAAGAAGTGAGCACCTGTGTCCCACTCACCATCTAAGAGTGGGGGAGTAGCTAGGGAAGACTACAGGAGGGGGGCTCTGGTGAAGAGGAAGAAGTCTCACCAAGTGAGGTGAGCTGGGGTTGAAGGAGTTCTTGGGAGCCTCAGGGAAGCAAGGACCCCTCCCTTTTTCTTCTCTTGGCCTTTTTCAACAGAACCTAGTAAATAATTACTGTGGCCACTTGGGACTGGAAAGCCACTGGTGAGGGAGGAGACAAGAGTTTCCTTTTCTTGCCCCCATTTTCCTCCTCCTGGGGATCTGTCCCTCTCCTAGTTTTACAAGCAGACACGACACGTACACACACACTCACGCACGCACACACGCATACACATATACCTTGGGTTGGAGGGGCAAAGAATGGAGGTAGAAAGGGGCAGGAGGGCACATAAGGGGACTGAGTAAAGCTATGGGGAAGGAGGGAGGGAAGGGGGGAGGAATGGCCTGTTTACAGTCACCTGGCTGCTCTGGGGCCCTGCAGGTGCTCCGAATTAACTCCTTCAGAGCCGGCCAGGCTCCTGGATCTACCCCAGCCTGTAGCTTCTGCTTCTCACTGTGAATCTCTTTTCTCTCCACCCAGATTTCTTCAGGTAATGGCGGCAGTGGCCTCTCTTACACAAACCCTGCAGCAGCAGTCACTTCTGCCAACTTATAGGGGCAGGTCTCCCACTCAGGGGCCAGCAGTGCCGGTCCCCTCCCTCAGGTTCTTCACTGCCAGAAGCCCCCTCCATTCTGACCTGGGCTGGTGAGCTGGGAATTCCAGTGGGCTGCTCACAACCTCCCTCCGAGGCTCCTGCTAAGCCCCCTAACCCATCTTAGCCTGGTGAAGCCCAGCCCTGCCCTGGGGGATATGCCTGGGGCAGTGGAACCTGGAGGTGGCTCCCTGGAAGACTGGCCTAGAAAGCCAGGAGATAGGGGTGGGAACGAACATGGTTGAATAAAACGTGGCCTCCTGTTGCGCCAACCTGTGATCCTTCTTCTGTCACCCATGAATAGGAGGGGCAGTCAGAATGTGTCTGTCTTTGGGAGAAGACACCCAGAAGAGAGGAAAAGAAGCAAGGAGGGGCTGGCTCATTTGCAAAGCAGATGTAGGGAAGAGGTGACTTTGGGGCGCCCTGCAGAAGAACTCAGTAGTCACCTCTCCCCCATTCCTAGCGGCACAAGAGGAAGAAGGAAACGAAACCTAGGCTGGCTCCAGTGGGCCGGCTTGACTGGGCTCCGCCTGAGCACCTATAGCTCTTTCCTCTACCTCTTGCCTCAACTGTGTCTCTGTTTCACACAGGCCAGCCTCTCCTGCTGGCATGGTGCCACCAGGCAGTTCTATTCTTAGCTGCCCGGGTGTGAAGTAAATCCTTGGGCAACAGTTAACAGCAGCAGAGTCAACACTGCCTTGATAAGCAGGGCTGGGTCAGATCCGGGGGGCTGGCATCAGGCCTTGTCCTGTCTCTGCCCACTCCTTGCCGCCCCACCCACCAGCTGCCTCTGGGGTGGGCTCCTTGGCACCCTGGGAATGGGGAAGTGGTTCTGATTCCCTGACCCCTTTGGCTGTGCCCTCAACCACATTCCCCTAAGGCCTGGTGTTGTCCTCCCTATGCCCTATCTAGGGCCTGATGCCAGCAGTCGGAGTGCTGCGCCCTCTGGTGGCTGTGGTGGGTTGGGCCTGCGCCTTCTGAGCTGTGGAGGAACGCTGGGAGTACCGCATTTGGGAACCTCCTTCCCTTAGGCACCAGATCCACCCCTGCCCTAATCAACACTAGGGCATCCTGAAGCCCTTCCACCACATCCTGCAGAGAAACTACAAGGAATGGTCACGCTCAGGGAAGGCAGAAATGTGCCTGGCGTCACAGTTTATTGTTTATAAACCATGAAAATTACAGCTGTTGCTCAGCCTAGCTGTGCCCACCACAGGGAGGCAGCTGTGGGCACCAGAGGCCTTGCCTGGCCCAACCCAATGGAGACACCCAGCCTCAGCTGGGTCCCCAAAGGAGACTTGGCACGTTGGCATGGGTGCAGGACAGGTAAAGCATGCAAGAAGGAGAAGAGGGACATAAGGAACATGCGGCTGGTGGGGGGGTACGAGGACCCAAGTAAATAAAGCAGGATAGGGTCCTCTCCCCCTTACCAGGGAGGCCCAAAGCCTACCTGCCCCAAAGCTATAATGGGGCAGGAAGCTTGGCAAGGCAAAGGGCAGAGCTGGCGATCATGCCCAGTGTTCCAGGTGCCCTCCCTCCTAATCAGCCTCAGCGGCACAGGACGGGAAGGGGCTCTCTATGATTGGAAGATGCCAAGGGCAAGGCATGGGTCAGAGACTTGGTAGGCATGGGAGCCTGGGCTGACAGGCAACAGAGAGAATGGAGGACATCCAGAGGTGAGCAGAGGAGAGCCCCCTTGGTCAAGAGAAAGCCCTGGGAAGACACAGACAGAGGGTAAGGGGCAGGACCACATGGTAGGAAGAATTTGGGGAAGAAGCTGTCGGGAACGACCTGGTGCCAGGAGGCTTGGGGGGGCCAGGCCCAGTGAGACCCCAAGTCTGGAAAACAGACCGGAGAGGATCAGTCCAGCTTGGCAAAGCCCCCAATGGTGACTTTCCTCTCAGGCTTAGTGCCCACAGGCTCTTGTAGTTGTACTGCGCCACCACCGATGAAACAAAAGGCAGGGCACACAGGCCCTGAGCAGTCCAGCGGGCACTCTAGGAGCCCACGGAAGGACACAGCATCCAGGAAGGAAACCCGGCCCCGTTCATAGTCCAAGCAGATGCCCAGACGGGGTGGCAGAGGCACTGTGCAGCTGGCTGCTGGGCCATCCCTCCCTGTCAGCCCTGCATTTGAGCTTGCTCCGGACCCCAGCAGAATCTTGCCCATGCCGATGGTTAGGAAAGCAAAGGGTGGCGACGCCTCCACCGTGGCATCCTCAGCACCGCTGTCGTGCCCACTGTCTGGGTCATACCTGTAGGAATGGGGGTTGGGTAAGAGAATGAGGGACCAGGGGGCTGAGATGTTGGAAGGATGGAATGTTGGCAAACAAGTTGAGGGGACCAATTTTGGGTATTGAGGGAATACAAGTTGAAGAGACAGGGTCTAGGTTGTAGGGTTGGAGGCTTGGATTGGTGGCAAAGGGGGACTGAAAGGAAAGCACGTTGGCAAAGGAAGTGTTGGGGAAAAAGGAAAGACAAGGTATTGACAGCACACTGAAGAAATGCAGTGTTTATCAAGATAGGAAGGCATCAAGAAAAATGGTGTTGGGGAAATCACACTAGGGAGAGGTTTTGACAGGATGTTGGAAGAAGGAGATGTCAGTAATTATGATACTGGGGAGCAGAGAAAGGATGTCAGAAAACGTGGGTGTTGGGAAAGAGACAAGGGTAGAGCAGTGTCCAATGTTGGATGCAGGACTGGGGAAGACAGGGTCCAGAAGGAACTGGTATTGGGGAGAAAGAGTTTTGAAGAAATGAGGTGTGGGGATGGAGTGCTAAGGAGAAAGGGTTCAGGAAGGAAACATGTGGGAAGGTGTTAAGCAGGATGTGGGGTGAGGAGGGTTTGTGGAGATGAGACAGTTAAGGGAAGAATCTGGGGATGTTGAGAATAGATGTGGGTGAAAGAGATCTTGGAGAAAAGTTTTGTGAAAATGGGGTGCTAGGGAGAAAGGACATGGGGCTTGGAGAGGTGGTGCCCTGGTCCAGATAGAAGGAAGAGGTCATGATGCCGTCTTCTGTCATCTCTTTCCCTGACCACACACTCTGAAAACCAGTCCTCAAGGACCCTTCTGTTGAGCCCACATCTCATCTTGTTCACTCCTCAGCCCCACACCAGCAAGTCTGTACTCCCCTTGACACCCCTTCCCTACTCCCAGCTCCCACTCAGGGTCCCCAAATCCCATCCCTTCCAGAGAGGCCTGACCTGGGGCTGATCACATCCGGGGCACCCTGGAAGCTTTCCTGAAGTTTGCTCTCCAGTCCGACGCCCACTTTGACCAGGTAGGAGGCAGGGTCTACGGCACACGCCCAGTAGCTACGACCCTGAGTCACAGCCACATCGCCCAGGACCACGTCCACGCTCAGGTGGCAGCCAGTCAGCAGCCGCTCAGCAGCCAGCAGCAGGGGCAGCCCTGGAACACTCCGCACTGCTCGCTGGTCCTTGCTGATGGCCAGCCTCTCTCGGCTTGCACCCCAGCGGCCATCAAGGAAGAAGTGCAGGACTGGAAAGGGGAGGAGAGTTGAGACAGAGGGAAGGACTTCAGGGACAAGCACTGGCACTAGGGACAGTGAGGTGTTAGCACAAGACGCTGGGAGAATCCAAAATGGGGAACAAGTTATTAAGGGGTTTTTGTTCAGTTACTGGTAATGGACAGAGGGTTCAGAAGAACAGGGCCTGGGAAGCTGAAATGGGGGTCATAAGAGAAGAAAGGAACATCCCAAATGGGCCTGGGACCCCAGGAAGAATTTTAGTGATGACTAATGGGCATAGAAAGTGGTGTCCCAGACCTTTTTTTTTTTGGCAAAAAAAAAAAAAAAAAACACCTCAGGGCCTGCACCTTGAGCCACTCCATCAGTCCTTTTTTGTGATGGATTTTTTCAATATAGAATCTAGCAAACTATTTGCCTGGGCTGGCTAGAACCACGATCTTCCTGATCTCTGCCTCCTGAGTAGCTAGGATTACAGGCATGAGCCACCAGCACCTGGCTTCTAGACCTGGTTGAATTACATGATCCTCCAACCCCTTTCCCATGGTGCCCCGTGTACCATGGGGACTGTACCCCACTGTTCTGTTCCACCTGGTTACATTCCCACCACCATCTACTGAGCTCTCCAGACCACATTCTGGTACTCACACCTGGGCCCTCTACCCAACCTCTACCTTTTTCTGCCCCTTACTTGAGTTGGTGTCTTCTATCATCCTTGTGCCCCGTCACTTTTTTAATCACTTTGTTAACATTTATTGAGCTCTTACTATGAGCCAGAAACAACTAAGTGTTTTTACATTTTTTTTTCTGGGGGTAGTGTCTCATTATGTAGCCCAGGCTGGCCTCAAACTTGTGATCCTCCTGTCTCAACCTCCCGAATGCTGGGATTACAGGTGTGCACCACCACGCCTGTTAAGTGTTTACATATATATTCTCACAACAGTTTAATTCTCACAACAACTCTATGATGTATTATTGTCACTGTAGAAGAGAACTCTGAAATCCAGACAGGATGAAAAACTTGGCCAAAAGACACATAGTGGGCAAGAGATTAGAGCTAGGATTTGAACCCAGGCAGTGTAGCTCCTGAGCCAGTGCATGTGGCCCCCACTGTATTAAACTGCTTCTCCAGTGCCTACCCAAACCAGCTGAGTACCTAGGCCCAGAATTCCTATGTCCTTTGTATGACAGCCTGTGCCCACCACACTGGGTTCACCAGCCTGCTCACTCACCAGGTGCTGGGGGTGTGTGCAGGTGCACATCTTCACTGTATTCGCCATAGCCAGCCTTATTGCAGCCACGGACACGTAGCACATACACAGAGCCCGTGTCAGGGTTCTCCAGCAGGGCGCTCGTGCCCCTCACCTCCTCCCGCCGCTGCCAGCGGGTAGGGCCTGGCTGGGCAGGCACATCTGTGCGTCGGAACTCAACGGTGTAGTGCCAGGCAGGTGGTGAGTGGGGGGGCAGCCTCCAGCACAGGAAGATCTGGTCGTAGGCAAAGGTGCGCTGGGTGTCAATGACGGGCGCCTCGGGCACTGTTAGAAGAGATAGCAAGGATCAGTCGGGGCCTGGCCACTAGCCTGGCATGGACACAGGGCAGGCAGGAAAGGGGAAGCAGCGGGAGCCGGGGGGGTGAGTGTGGGTGAGGGAGCTGGGGGGAAAATGTCCCATCTGGTCACTGGGCACCAGGTGGCCAGGGCAGGGCATGACCTAAGAGAGAATGAGGAGAGAGAGTGCTGGAAACAGAGTCAGGAGGATTGTGCTCTGGTCCTGGCCTGCTACTACCTCACTCTGGCCTGAGATAAGTCACCTCCCCTGTCTGGGGCTATTTCCTCCTGGAGCAAATGAGGGTATCAGACCAGGTATGGTTTGAGAGCCCTTCCAGCTTAGATTTTGTGAGTTAACAGGAGCTCTGGACAAGGAAGCAAAGACCACTGGAACCCAGGCAAGAAGGCCCTGAGCAGGAAGGAGGGGGAGTGGAATTGGAGAAAGGTGCCAGAGCGAGCAAGACAGAAAATGGGGAGGCAACAGAGGGAGAGCAAGCTTGCAGCAGGGCCAGGGCATAGAGGTCAAGGGGAAGAGAATGAATGTCCAGAGGGCGAGAGTCATGAGGACAAAAGGTCAGGAGGGCCAGGATTTTAGCAGAGCCTAAAAAAGGCAGAAAAGAGGCAGGGCAGCAGTCAAGTGGGAGGACTGGGAAGTCTGGTTAGGACAGGAAAGAAGGAAGCAATGAGTGGCTGGCCGAGCTGTGTGGGAGCAGGGCTGGGGAGGAGGCCCGCGGGGGGCAGGGCCCCTGGGGCAGGGCCGCTGACTTGCCTGGGGTGTTCCGGAGCAGAGTCCGCGGTGGCCACAGCCTACAAACAAAGAGAGGGAGAAGCAGCGCTGAGCGCGGTAGGACGGTGTGTGGCAGGGTAGGCTGGGTGGGAGGAGAGGCTGGCCAGGCCGGGCAGGAGGCCAGGAGGTCCCTGGTGGGCACTGCCCCCCGGGCCCGCTGCTGGGGAGAAAGGGAAGAAGGCTCTGGTTGGGCACGGGCCTGGCCATCTCCTTACCTCGCAGGAAGTTAAGCTCAGTCAGCAGCTTCATCTCACGCCCCACATCCAGCTGGCAATGGCGGAAGGAGGAGCTGGCAGCTGGCCGGAATGTCTGGAGGGCTTCAGTTGCTCGGGCAATCCTGGGATGGGGCAGCAAAGGGTCAGGCACTGCCAGGTGGGCAGCCATCCTTCTCTTTGATTCTGCCTTGCCTGCCTCTAGGGCCTTGATCCTGCTTTCAGTCTCTTCGTCACCCCTTGGAATAAGCTGGCACCAGTTTGGCCTTATGAAAATTCTCAGTACCCCAGTTCTCTACCTGGCAGAACTCTAGACATTGTCTTAGGCGTTGGCTACACCCATGGTGCCCTGTGCTATGCCCCTCAGTACCTGTTGTGCAGCTGCTTGGCTGCTTGCACAAAGCAAGGCTGGTCCGTTTCCTTAAGCACTTCCTGGGCATAGCCCACCAGACCTGAGCCGTCCAGCAGGCTCCTGTGCTCCTGGATCTGGGCGCTGAGCCGAGCCAGCCGCTCCTGCTGGCACTCTTCGATGGCCTGAAGCAGTGAGGCTCGCTTCTCCTCCAGCACAGCCCCCAGCCCCCGCACCAGCTGTGACACCTCCTCCTTTGCCTGCTGACCACTCACCTGCCAAGGGAGCAAAACCCAAAGGATGCATGACTTACTGTCTTCCCCTCGGAAGCAGCACCTGTGCCAGCCTCCTAGGATACCACATCACGGCTAGGATCATTAGGATGGGAATTCTACCCACCCATCTCAATAGGGCCAGACTCATTCCTGCCAAGGCACCTGTACCCAGATGCGCTCAACTCCTGACCATTTGTGCCAACCTTCCTCAATGCCCACATCATAACTGAAGAGAATCCTTCATTTCCACCCTTTCTAGCTGGATCCAGGAACTCAATTATTACAGGAGAAAACCATAAACGTTTTAACTGTACACATAGATGGGGGGGCTTTATAAAAGAGTAAAATGCAAAGAAATGATCAAAGTCCGATACTTTAAAACTTTTTAGATAAAGAACAACACGTTTGCTTTTTCTTGGGGGGAGTATTGGGGAGGGAACCCAGGATCTTGTACATGCAGTACACATGCTCTGCCACGGAGCTACACTCCCTGCCTCAGAGCAATACATTTGTGAAGGAATGACAGGACAAATGAAAATCTGTACTGGGGAGATATCTAGTGGAAGGTAAGGGTTACTTCAAACAGTTTGTTCATTCAGTTTCATTTTAGCCCCAATGACCAGTTTCTGATGATCAAGGCTATTCTCAGGCCTTAGTATTTGAAAGGTATCCCTCCCAAAAGAATCCTTATAACTTCTGCATGTAGGAAAACATAGCCAAATGACCCTTTCTGAAGTTAATTCCTGAAGTGATATCAGCTTGAAATAACCAATAAACTAATTGGGCATATTTTGTCTTAACTCCTTCAGAATCCTAATCCCTTAACTTAAATACTCACGCAAATAAGAGAGGATATGACTATACTAATGTCTACTTGGATTATACTAACTAATGTCCACTGGTTGCTAACCCAGCTGAATGGTTCATCCCCATGTCAGCTGATTCCAACAACCTGGCAGAAGGAGTCAGAGCCATCACCTCACCCTCCAGGGATGTGTGCTGACCTTAGTAGGCAAATGAGCCTAATGGCATCTGAGCTCTCTCCTCCTGGACTATAGCCACCCCAACTCAACAGCAGTCCCAGCTACAGCCTAGCCTGGGGCACTGGTGTTCCTGTCAACAAACTCCATCCCCATATATGTACACCCCTCAAGGGCTTCCTTAGCTGGCAGCAAATTGATGGTGGCATGCCCACCCATATCCCCTTCCTCCACTCCCAGGCAGGGTCCAGGTCCCAAGTCCATGATCTCCCTCACCTCAGTGTGCCTGACGGTCTCCTCCAGCTCACAGATCTGGGTCTGTACTGTGTCCTGGTTTCCCAGGATGTATGTCAGGCTCTTTGTCAGCTTGTCCTGAGGGGGAAGAAAGAAGTGGGTATCATGCCTGACTCTACAGAAGCCAGCAATTAGACGGTACGTGAAGGTGTGAGTTAGCATGGGCCGAGTGAGCAGGGGTCCTCACCTTGAGGGCCTGGTACGCGCTGAGCACTGGTGTAATCTTGTGCCCACTGTGGGTGCGCCGCACCCGGCAGAGCTGGCATACCAGCCGCTGACACGTCTTGCAGTAGTGAGTTACCTCTTCCTTGTGGTCTGGGCACATCAGGCCCTAGAGACACAAATGACAATAAAATATCAGCCAATGGAGTGTATAAGGGTGCTGACCTACCACTACAGCAGCTGGGTGCCCTCCCTTCGCTGATCAGATGCAAGTGGAGGGGAGATCAGCTGCTGATGCTCCACAGTGCCACCTGGTGGTGCACACTGGCATCGAGGCTTCTCTCTCAGTCTCCAAGCAATGTCCATTTCACTAGCATTGCTCTTCCATCTACCTCAAGGGAGTGTGTGGTAATAACAATAATAATTATAATAATTAAGCCTTATGATTCATAATTAACTGTGTTCATCTTGTTCACTGCTGTACCCCCAATGCCTACAATAGCAGTATGCTCATAGGTCTTAATAGCTTAATAAATATCTGTTCAATGAATGAACACATACAAATATTTTCAGTGTATAGATAACACTTTTTTTTTGAGACAGGATCTTGCTATGTAGCCCAGGCTGGTCTTGAACTCGTAAGGTTCTTGCCTCAGTCTCCCAAATGCTGGGATAACAGAGTGCAGGGATTACAAATGTTTGACACCACTCCAGGCTCCAGGCCAGGCCAGATGACACTTTTTTTTTTTTTTGGTAGGACTGGGGTTTGAACTCAGGGCTTCACACTTGCAAAGCAGGCGTTCTACTGCTTGAGTCACACTTCTAGTCCTAGATAACATTTCTTAGTGAAAAAACATTATGTCTTGTGATCCTATCTACAACCCTGCAGGTAGGGATATTTCATGGCAGACACTATTATTCTCAGGCAGTAGATGACATGGAGGCTCAGAGATGTTAATTTCTCCAGTGGCTTTGTTACAGATAAAGGGGCCGCTTGGAAGCCAGGTGTGGCAGTGCACACCTGTAATCCTAGCACTCAGGAGGTGGAGAGAGGAGGATCTGGAGTTTGAAGCCAAGCTGGGTCACATAGGGAGATCCTGACTCTAAAACAAACAAACAGAAAGGATCTGCTCGAGATACAGTGCAGGCATGTATGGAAACATCCCAGTGAAACCTTTGTATACAACTAATATGTGCTAATAAAAAAAAGTGGAAGAAAGGGGTATTGGCAATGGCAAAAACCTACCCAACTTCTTTTGGAAGCCCACACACCAGGCACCCCCACCCACTCATCACCACCATACCCCTCCCTCCCTAGGCCCTGCGGCTCACCTTGGGGCGGAAAGAGAGGGTGGGCAGGGTGGGCTCGTGTTGGGCCTTCTGAGTGCCCCAGGGGTGGAAGAGCTTGAAGCACTCATTGCAGAAGGTGGCACGACACTCTGTGCAGCCCTTGGTGGCCTCTAGTGGTGGGGGTTTGCACAGCTGGCACAGGATGGCGCCTCCCACACTCACACTCTGGCGGTACCGTTCCACCACTCGCTCTAGGGTTAGGTTCCGGAAAAGCCCAGCCAGGCCCCGCTCCCCCAGCTCCACGTCACCCTGGCAGGCTGGGCATGGGAACATGATCACCTGGGGGTGCAAAGTACCTCGCTTCCTCCCAGGATATGTCCCAAAGCCTGTGGATGGACCCAGGAGGTAGAGGTCAGTTACAGCTGGTTGAGAGTGGGTGAGGTCTCTTCAATTAAAAAATTAGATTTTTATTGTCCCAGAACTCAGCTCTCATTAAAGTCCAGATAAGCAGTATTTCTACTCCCAGAAAGACGGACAGATGCCCCTGACCAGCGATGGACCCCTTCCATCTTCCTGATGACAACCCTACATTCCCATCCCCATCCCACAGGGCCCAGCCCCACCTGATTTAAGCAGCCGGTCCAAGCGATCTGGTTTAGGGAGAGTTCTTCGAGACAGGCGGGGGCTGCGGGTGGAAGGAGTGGAGGCAGGAGAGGTGGGCTCAGAGCTGGGGTCCCCACCATGGCCTATGTAGCCCTGCTGGCCCAACACCTCCCGGGCACAGGCCTGGCACACATTGTGGGTACAAGGCAGCACCAGGGGCTGCTTGTACATCTCTTGACACACCGGGCACAGCAGTTCCTTCTCCATGTTCTTCATGCTTGTCTGTGGAGGGACCAGGAGGCTAGGTCAGAGCTTGGACACCTGGGCATATCTCAGCAGGCCCCACAGCTACCATTAGAAACCCCACAGGTCTCAGGAAGAGGCAAGACAAGCTACTCATAGCTTTTGCCCAGTACCTGCCTTAGTCAGGATCACACACCTTCCCGGCCCTCTGTCCCATGCCTCTGTTTCCCTCCTGCAGAGCTAAAGGTTCACCAAGAAGGGATGATTGGAGCTGTGCCTCCCCAGCTTCAAGCCCCACCCCCATCACTCAGGCTGCAGCATTTCTGGCATGCAGCCCTCCTCACCTGTCTCCATTCCTCCATCTCTGGGCTGCCAGCTCTGGCATTTAATCTCAAGGGCACCGCCCATTCTGCAGCTCGGTGCAGCCCCCCGCCTGCTTTACTAGAACCCCTTCAGACGCGTGACTCCTCCCCATAGCCAGACGCAGCTAGCTCTCCATCCTCCAGCCGCGACTCAGGCCTGCGGCCATCCCAGCCCCCATCCTCCATCTTTTACTTCTCCATCCATCCCTTCCAGTCTCCAGATGTCAACCTATTCCCCTCGCCCCCTACCCTCCAGCCCTTCCAGCGCAACCCGGACCGCGCAACCCCTTGCCCAAGCTAGGGGGAGATACAAGCGCCCCGCCTACTCGCCCCCTCCCCACCGGAAGTATCCTTCTCCCTTTTGGTGGCGGGGGTCCTCAGGCTATGCCCCACCCCCCACACCTCACCTTGGTCCCTCTCTTCGCAGCCATCCCGGTCAGGGGCGCAGCTGACACAAAGGAGGGAGGGACAGGGAGGGAGGGGGAAGGAAGTGGTGGGGGGGAGCGGGGTTGGCACCGCCCCTGGGAGAGCCGGGCACGGGTTGCCATGACAACCTCAGGCTCGGCGACAGCCTTGAGTGGGGGTGCAGTGGGGTGGGGTCTCGGGGAGGGGTCCAAATTGGGAACCGCACCCTGTGGTGGTTCCTTCATGAACCCCCACCTGTCTTCAGTTTTCTTGGAAAATATCCTAGCTTGCACATGCCCCCTACTCGTAGCATAGCTCCTTTCCCCTGAAGCCCCAGCCCTGGTGTACTGCTGGCTGCCACCTCAGCCCACCCGCTGCGTCCGGCGGTTTCTCTGCTCACACCCCAGCAAATGAGAGCCTTTACGGCACTCATCTCCCGATATTCTTGGGATTACCCTCTCACGCCTGCATTCCTCCCCAGTCCTCTTTGCCTTCACTAGCCCCCTGTCTACATCCCATCCTCTTCCTGGATCCCCACCTGTTCCAAGGGTTTGGCTTGCGCTGGACCCCTCTACGTCCCCTCCCTTTCCCTCGACCCCACCTTAACTCACACTGATGCGGACCAGTGCATCCATGATGGAAGTGAAGGTCTGCATATCCTCACCCTCAGCCATGGCCCCACTGTGCCCGCCCGCCCCCGGGTGCCCGATCCCGGCTGCTGCTGCGAACCCCGGGCTTAATGCAGGAGCCCGGTGGGGGTGTGGGAAAGAGTGGGGGTGAGGTGTCACTGCGCATGCTCCAGGGACCAGCCTTGAACATCGCCCGTCGGTGTAGGGGGTGGGAAATAGTTCTCCCCACGTGGTTCTTGAAAGGCGATCTGGGGGTGGGTAACATGGACGGCATTTGAGGGGAAAGCTATTCCTCATATTAGAATTCTTCATTGGCTCCTACTCATATAAAGCCAGAGGCTAGTTTTAGAGGAACATGAGTTCCAGGTGGCGAGCACTACGTTTTTGGTTGCGCAAGTCCACCGAAGATATTGAGGCAATGAGCATGGGGCAGGGAGATTTGAGGGACAAGCACTAGAGAAGACATAAATGTCAAAGAAGACAGAGGTGGGCTATAGGCTATGGGCCCAATGACAGGAGGATATAAGTGCAGCTTGTCCTGACAGGCAGAGGATGCATTGGGCATTGGGTAAGGCTGGGGACCAGGGCGGTGGCCAAGGATGCTCTTTCACGCCCCATCCTCCTTGCCGGAAGAGGGCGCTGCATCCAGGCGTCAAGAGGAAGAAAGAGGAAGCGGTGGAGTGAAGCAAGTTCGCGTTAGGAGCTGACGCATGCGTACGGCCAACCGCGCCCGGTTCGGCTCTGCTCTTTCTTGACTAGAGGCGCGGATTGGACCCATAGGCGAGCATGATGGGTAATCGGGCCTGTGGGATCCCCTTGCTCTGCTAGCGGGGGGTCGGAGTTGGTGCCGACCAGCTTTCCTGGCACTTTCCGGGAAAGCTGACGTGTTCTGAGTTCCAGGGAGTGGGCATTTCCACCGGACAGAAGGGACCTGAGACTAGGGAATTCCTGGGGGGTTGTCATGGGATGTGGGGAGTTTGGGGAGAGGGGCTGTAGTCTTGGGAGTGCTTGTAAGTGGTCGGCCTATCGAGATGCGGGACTGGCCGAATTTACCTGCAGCTCGAGAGGAGGGCAAATCCTGACTGAGTGCGTCCCTTCTCTCATCCCCTCCAGTGGTGGGTACTGGCACCTCCCTAGCGCTGTCCTCCCTCCTGTCCCTGCTGCTCTTCGCTGGGATGCAGATGTACAGTCGCCAGCTGGCCTCCACCGAGTGGCTCACCATCCAGGGGGGCCTGCTGGGCTCCGGCCTGTTCGTCTTCTCTCTCACTGTATCCTCTCTGCGCTGGAAGGGGGAGGGGTGTTTGAGGGCAGGAAGGGTCGAGGGCCACGTAGACTGGGGCGTGTCCCCTTAATCCGCACAGCTCTACCCGTGTTGCATGCCCTTCGCCTTAACTCCCTCAATTTAGGCTTTCAATAATCTGGAGAATCTGGTCTTTGGCAAAGGATTCCAAGCAAAGATCTTCCCAGAGAGTAAGTGAAAATTGGGGATTGGGTGGATCCTCTCCTCCCTAACCTCTTCCAAACCTGATACTAAGTTTTCAGGTAAAGGATGTTAAGGAGAAATATGTTTACTAAAACTGTCTAAAGACAGATGGTGGATTTGAATCCAGTATTTATCTAGTTACTGGCATTGGAGGTGGAAGAGAAGGCCTCTCTGAAAGCAAGAAAAACCTTCTTCTGGCCAACTTCCAGGAAAGGTTTCAAGGGAACAGTCAAGTTTGGACTGATGCTTGGTACCCATCCTCAGAAAGGTGTTCTTTGTTCCCACCAGAAGCAGGACCGATTTCACTGAGAGGTTCTGATATACAACTGACTTAATACTATTTTGTTCTGTTTATTTGAGGGAATTGTGAAGAGCCTAAATATTGGATAAATCAGATTTTTTTATGGCAGCAGGACTCCTAACCAAATTAGAATAACTGTTATTTTCTGTTTGGAATAATCCTTGTTTAATTGTTCATGTAATTGAGAATTGATGATTTAATTATGGAGAATTAAGTTCATAAAGCAAATTAGGGATGAATGCCAGATCACCTAAGGAATGCTACGTGCTCAAAAATTCACAGCAGACGTGGTCTCATGCGAAACCTTCATCTAGTAAAGCAAAGATGTGTCATTGTTGCCCTCATTGCTTTGCACTCCTCGAGGTCTTCCTCTCATACCGAGGTCCTGTTTCAGGTTTCCAGAGCTCCTTCCATTCCAAGCAGTCCCAAGACTTCTCTCTGTTAGATTTTGTTCCCATGTGTACTGTCTTCATTTGCTTCCAAAGAGACCATTGTTTGGGGAGCAAAGTTCTTGGCCCTCTTTGCTTTCCCTGCCTCCCCAGGTGGACAGGACAGGTGGGGTCTGTTTGCCCTTGCTTCCTGCCCTCTCGCCTTCTTTCCTGTCCTATTCTGGATGTCTTAAGATCCTTTCCTGTCCCTATAGACACTCTGCCCTCCAACCTGTGTCTAGTGGGCAAAGCCCTCACCTTCCATCACTGGTCAGCCAGCTTAATGAATTGATTCTCATTGACTGGCTTCTGTTGGGAAGGCCTTACCTTCTTCCCTAAATGGGAACAGACCTTGCTCTTCAGGCTCTGCTAGCACCTTTCCTTTCTTTTGAGACAGGATCTTATTATGTTGCCCAGGCTAGTCTCCTCTTGAATTCCTGTGCTCAAGTGATCCTTCAGCCTCAGCCTCACAAATAGCTGCAAACTACAGACACATACCACCTTTTCCTTTTTATGGGAGGAAAGCTGCAACGTTAACTGAGATTTGAGACAGAGCTATTAAGAAGTATACATCTCCTGTCTTCATGTCCTGGGCAATATTAAGGCCATCTGAGGTCCTCCTGCTGTTGTTATGCCATACCCTTCCAAGCAGATTCTCCCAAGATTCAGAGGGTCCCAGGTTTAGGGTTTGTGTGTGTGTGTGTGTGTGTGTGTGTGTGTGTGTGTGTGTGTGATACTAGTGTTTAAACCCAGGGCCTCACACTTGCTAGGCAGGTGCTCTACTTGAGCCACTCCACCAGTCCCAGAGGCCCCAGGTTTTTCCTAGGCTCCACTTGTGAATGCCTGGTATTTCCATTCTGTCACCTGACCCTCTTTGTCCGTCTTGCCTCCATAGTTCTCCTCTGTCTCCTGTTGGCGCTCTTTGCATCCGGCCTTATCCACCGAGTCTGTGTCACCACCTGGTATGTGCCTGACAGCTGGGTAAGGGGTACTGCTCTATCTTTTGGCACTGGAACCTACTATGGTAGTGCCAGATCCCCCCTCACCCCATACTTCTCCCTCTATTCTCCTTCCTTTTCTCTTCCCCATTTTCTAAAACTTGAATCTGGATTCTTTCCCTGAAGCTAGTGTCTGCCCTGGCAGTAGACTGGCAGCAGACTGGCAGCATGCCCACTGATGCCATGTTTCTGTATTCACCCTGTAGCTTCATCTTCTCCATGGTTGGTCTGTACTACATCAACAAGATCTCGTCTACTCTATACCAGGCAACAGCTCCAGTCCTTACACCAGCCAAGGTGACGGGCAAGGGCAAGAAGAGAAACTAGCCCCAGCTGTCCAATAAAGTTGATTCTTTGTAGCTCTGTGAGCTGTATGATGTTGTGGGCCTCATCTGCCAGTGCCTGTGTGGATGTACAGAATGTTCAGACAGATAGGCACCTACTGTTTCTGGACTTTGGGGTTTTCCTCCAAGGTTTTATGTATTTATGTATTTATTTATTTATTTTGCGATACTGGGGTTTGAACTCAGGGCCTACACCTTGAGCCACCCCACCAGCCCTTTTTGTGAAGGTTTTTTTTTTTTTTTTGAGATAGGGTCTCGTGGAACTATTTGCCCAGGCCAACTTTGAACCACATTCTTCCTGATCTCTGCCTCCTGAGTAGCTACTGGCACCCTGCCAAGGTTCATTTTTACCAAATATTTATTGAGTGCTGTCAGTGTCAGTCGCTTTACTAGGCACTGGAGTGGCATATACTTGCATGAGAATGATCATGGAAAACAAGTGGATGAATGGTCTTTAGTTTTGACCTTTGAGGAGAGGGTTTAAGGCTGAAATGCAGGAAGACTTGTCAGAACTGGAAGAGATGTTGGAACAGAATACTAAGAAAGGAAAAGGAGCCAGGTGCTGGTGTCTAAGGCCTGTAATCCTAGCTACTCAGGAGGCATAGATCAGGAGGATCATAGTTTGAAGCTAGCCCAGGCAAATAGTTTGTAAGACCCTATCTTGAAAAAACTTCACAAACAGGGCTGGTGGAGTGGCTCAAGGTGTAGGCCCTGAGTTCAAGTCCCAGTACCGCAAAAAAAAAGAAAGAAAGGAAAGGAAAAAGCCCTCACTCCTATGCTGTGCCATGGGATTCCACATGGGGGCTTATTCTAGCTCCCCACCCTAAATAAATGAGCCCCCTGCCCTACCCCTTCTGTTGCAAGTCCATAGGTGGGAATTTCCTACCAGTGTTGTACTCTTGGACTACTGCTCTACTCTAGCATAATCATGTGCCCATACTTAGAGCGACTCCTCAAGCCCTAGCCCTTTCCTGTTTGTTTTTTCCCCCTCGTCTCACAGTTAAGATATTAGGACCTTCCTGAGTTTTTAGCAAAGTATATAAAATAGGAGTAAGGCTGCCAACCTCGGAGTCAGCCTGGATGGGAAAGAGGTAGGTCCTGCCTTGTCTGCTGTGTCATGACAGCATGTCCTCTGAGGCACCTAGGCACCCCCAGTCTTTGGGATGTTGTGGGATTCACGGTACATACCCATTTTGGTTGGCTTTGTATTCTCCACAGTGCCTGCTGATGGGCAGTGGATGGGTGGGTTAGTTGAATGAAAGCACCTGCTCTTTGTCCTTTTAGAACAAAATCCTGTGCATGAGAAGTGCCTAAGTTAGGGAAGAAAACCCAGTAAAGATACAGAAGAGAGTCAAGGCTGGTAGAGTGCCTGCTTGGCAACTGTGAGGCCCTGAGTTCAAACCCCAGCACTGCAAAAAAAAAAAAAAGAAAAGAAATGAAGAGACTCAAGGGAGTTCTTGTCAAGGATTAGAGGCCTCTCTACCCTACCCCACTCCCCATTTGTGGGCAGAAACCCAGGCTCTTGTCCTATTCTCTGGCTGAATGCTAAGCAGTTTACCCAAGATGCCTGCAGAGGGTGCTGTGGTCTTATATCTGTCCTGGACTCTAGCAGCACCCTCCCCTGCAAGTTGTCCCTGAAGGACTGGGAGAAGGGTGCTGCTGTGTCTTTG